TTTCTCTCTCTCTCTCTCTCTCTCTCTCTCTCTCTCTCTCTCTCTCTCTCTCTCTCTCTCTCTCTCTCTTTACTCCTCTTTCTTAATACCCTTTCCAAAAGCTAAAGATAAAAAAGTTGTTCTTTTGTTTTAATCTATACGATAACATTGTCATGTGTCCACCAGTTAGAGTTTGGATGTAACCACTCGATCCCCTTAATGTGCCAGTTGGAATTGCAAGATGTTCAATGTATTTTTTGTTGTTGTAATAATGTCGATTCAAGTGTCCCACAAACTGTATTAGTCTCTTCCTGGTTGTGTTTGACAGTGGGCGGCCCACTCAAGCTTCTTTCAGTACTGTTTTATTTCATTTTATTTTCTTTTCCACCCATGAAATTCTCAAGTCTCTGTTTTAAAAAGGCACATCTCTGTTGCTTCAAATTTATTTCCCACTGTCTTTTTTAATTGTCCATCTTTCACAGCTGTACAGAAAAGTTGACGACACATATATTTTTAAAACTCTTATATTAGTTGTGATTGGGGTGGTTCTGTTATTCAGGATCCGACGCAGTTTCATTGAATTTCTTCGGCCATTGGAGTTCTTGGTTTTACTTCTTTTGAACATTTAGCATCGACCTTTCTGCTCAGACGTTGTATCCCTCTTAGCCCAGGTCTGACAGAGTCGAAGCTAATCTCCAAAATGATCTTAATTGTCTCGATGGGAGTGTAAGAACACTTGCATTAAAATAAGAAGAAAAGAAATCTGTCCAAATAGGTCTGCAGCGGCCTCCAATGCATGCTATGTGTTCCCTTCATATGCAGATAAAAACGGGCATATCGCATACGCATTTTATAAAAACATAAAACATGTTTAAACACTGAAGCACGCGCAAGTCGGCTGTTTAAAGTTAGTCATTTTTCATTCTTTTTTTTGCTCTTTCACGCTCCCTCTGTTAAATGCAGAATTTTAGTTTCTGATCTTTTTGATTTTCCAATCTTTTTATCTTTGAATTTAGAATAAATTATTAGAAGTTGTTGGTTTATCAATCAATTAATTATATTCTGAAATACGTTATTAATACCTACCATATGGTTGTTGGGCGGTCCATTTTCCGCACAGTACAGTTGTTCCGTCATAAAAATACTAGTTGCAATTTTGCCACATACCTATGTATTCCGTGTAGAAATCCAGAGTGGGACTATTCTTTGAAGTTCTCGGTTTATGAGTCGGTTTTGGAGTAAGGTGTCTGTCTTGTGTTGATCTTTATGTGTTCATTTCTCTGTTTTCGTATGCGCAAGTTATGCGGTGATGATAGCAATATAATAGATGAAGCCAAAACATTTTCTTTCTCTCCGAAGACAGAATTCTAGAAGGAAAAAAGTTGCAGCTGAACACAACAGCTAACTCTCTCTCTACCAGGAGGCAAACAGTTGCGTCTTTTTTTTCTTTTAGTTTGTTTATGAATGGCATTACTGCGGTCTGGTCTGAGCAAGAGACCCTAGGAGTAAACCTACATTTTTTAAAAAGTTATCGGTGTGCACCCGAAACGAGACCCACCCTCACGTTTGTTGTTCGTGTGTTTGCTGTTTTGTTTGTTCGTTTGTATGTTTGTTGTTGTTGTTTCTAGGGGGGGGATACTGTTAAAAAAGCATTGTCAAAAATGGCCGTGGTACCCTTTTCCCATCACCTTCTCCAAAAATCATCATCTCAACGACCCTGATTCAGCAGTGGGCGTCAAGCGTCTCACCCACACCCGCTCACTCGAGTCGCTTACACCGCCGACTTTGTCCCCCTCCCTAAATGTCTTGAATATCACACTTTGTTTGAAATTGTCTTATCGCTTGCCCATATGTTCTTCATGGGTGTCCCCAGATTGACTTTTTTGTTCTTTTTTTCTCAAGCATTCCTGATTTGTTTTTGTTTTTTTTAAACTATATTTTGGTTATAAAAAGAAATTAACTCATGCGAAGGTCTTTGACGTTACTGAAATGCACAGGTGACGAGCAACTACCAATGGCTTAAAAATATTCTGAACTGAACTTAATGTATAGCAATCAAATCAATTATATCCAACAGCCTGAATGAAGCATAACCAATTTAATTTCTTTAAAATTGTAGAACAGCGTCTCAATAATTTAAGCCACCATTGTTCAGGGAAATTATGAGAGCTTTCGGACAAAGACACTTTGTCATTGCTCAGAGGCTAAGCAGACGAGATCTTGACTTAAATTTTGAAACAAGAGCCTGCATCTCGTTGGCTGACGTGTCATATTAATTATTTGATTGTCTGTGTTTTAGATGGGTGACGGTGGAAGATCAGGATAATGTAGCTTTTAGGGAGCATTCAAGAAAAGGTATGAATAGGAGATGATGAACGCCAATGTCTGTCATAGATCTGGCTCTTGATGGTGAGATTTTTAAAAGACAATTTGACTAGGCATAAAGTTGGGTTCATTTTAAATATGTCTCCTAATCTGCCCTTTCTCTTTTGAGAGAGAGAGAGAGAGAGAGAGAGAGAGAGAGA